GTTACAATTCACATGATTCATGGGACGTTTATACAGCATCAAAGTTATAGTGTGTGGAGTTGGTGAATTTAATTTGTAATTTTATATATTCTTTATCAGCATCATAAGAACTTCTTGAGACCAGAAATGTAATAAAATTAAATAATTTAATTAAATATAAGGTAACTTTGTTTAAAAGTATTTGCACTTTATATTAACTATAACTTAACATCAATTACGTTACAGATTTCGTATAGTATACAGCAACCAACATGCCCAAAAGTTGGCAACTCTTTACTATTATTAACTTTAAGTGACTTAACAAAATTTTAAAATCTCTAAATGCCCTTAAATAAATACTTTTGATATAATAATAAATATATTTGTTAAGTACTTCAATTTAATAGATTTTATAGAATTTAATTTTCTACACAAATATTTAAATACTTCTTTTACCGCTCGATAGTTTTTTTTTAAATTCTGGTAGCAGTTGTTTTGCGTGGAAAAAACAACCCGGTTCCGGCGCCAGTTTTAGATTCAGTCTTAAGTTCAGATTCAGGTTCGGATTCAAATTCAGCTCGAGATTCAGCTTCTGCTCCAGCTTCAGCTCCAAGTGACAGAGTCGAGGCTAAGCGACCACTTTAAAGTGCCCTGAACTTGATTAATGAATGGCAGCGCTCTAAAGTATGCTACGTCGTTCAGCAAACACAAACATACACACACTCACTCACACACACACTCAAAGTGTCAACGACACGGTGAAAAAGAAAAAGCAGAAGAAGGAGTGAAAAAAGAAGGCGAAATGAAAGCCCTGAGACTCCTGACATGGCTTAAAATCTGTTTGCCGCGAGGAGCACAAATTGAAATTGGCTCACAACTTGGCAGCTAATTTAATATTTTCACTGAAGAGCTTTGTGGTTCGCATGTGTGTGTATGTGTGTGTGTATGTGTGGGTGTGTGATACACTTATAATTGTCACAGACACGAATATCAAGAAAGTAATAAAGAACATTTAAAAAGTTTACAAAACATTTCAAAGTTTTTTTCAGTAGCAAGTTTTACGTTTTAACTTTGATGGTTCTTGGAAATATTACACAATAATAATCTATATTAAATATAAACGAATTTAATTAGATCATTTATCAAGTTAAATTGCACTCGTTAACATTTCTGCTGCTGTTTAAAATTAATAAATTTTAAAATAGCACTCCCTTTTAATATAAAGATATTTAATTTTAGCAATCTCCCGACTAATCCAAGCATAATAAGCACCTTCTATTTGGCTCGGTTGCCTCCATGAATTTCTATTTTGGCGTCTTTTGGCTTCCTGGCGGCAACCATTTTTAATGCTTCCTGTGCTTAAATAGATACACGATACTTCTTCATCCCACGAAGGCTCACACATGCCACAAAATCATACGAAGATATATGTATATATAGATATATATATAGACACCTCGGCACACTTTGTGGGTAATTTAAATTTCACCTGATTCGCAATTCGATTCGCCTGCTGCGGTGCTTAAAAACTTGCTGTAATTGAATTGGAAAGATTTCTCATCAGCAGAACAGTGCCATGAAGTTATTCCTTTGAAATATATTTTTCTTTCCTTGATTATATATAAAGAGCATAAAATACAATCCGATTTGAATGGGTTTGCCATCCATTCATCATATTAACCCAATAGTTTCCCCCGCGAAGTTCTCAACTCTTTATGTTGGATCGCATTATGAATAAATTTATTAAGTAATTTATTCAAACGACCATTTATTCATTAGCGTGTGTGTGTGGCATGAAGCTACTTTATTACTAAGTAGAATGTTTTCGAGGGGAAAAGCACTCATACGCCACGTTGGCATTTTGGTATTCCAGACATAAATCAAACTTCGAAATCCAGAGAAACGAAACTCATCTTCCGACACGAACGGACTTCAATTCGGTCCGAGCTTATTTTCGATTTGTGCAACAAATGAAGTGAGAAATTATTTTTATTATTATTTATATTTTCCACTACGGATGCTGATGTGATGATGCCTGCCACCCAGCATTCCGCCTCCCTTGTTCCGATTCTTCCACATCCGCACCGTGGGCAAATCACGTATTCCGAAAAGCAAACAAACGCTGGAGCCCGCATATATAAACAGGCAGAGGAGGGTAGTTATGAAAAGTAAGCAAGTGCGCGGGGGGCAAAAAAAAAAAAAGAAAAGAGAATATAATGCGAGGGGAGGCCAAGCAGCACGAAACACTGGAGCTTCAGCAATTCGAAAAGTAAGCTTCAATTTTTTCTTTTCGGTGGGCGTCCGTCAGTCACATCATTAAAATCGAGCGTGGAGCTCCGATGGCGCCTAATTCGAGTCCTTGCCGCAAGATGTGCTGAAATGTGTGTCCTGGAATGTGGAGAGGGGGAAGGGGGAAATGGAGGGGGAAGGGGAGTGGCACTAGATAGGGACACCCATCCTCCTGAGGCATTCATCAATATGCCAAACATGTTTTGTTATCATCAAATGGAAAATGCTTCATTTTCACGTACGCCAAAACGGAAGAACAGCTCACTGGAAAAAAAGCTTACTATATGTCATTAGAAAAATAAATGATATAGAAATTATAACTAACATTATAACATTTAATTATAATATGTTTATTTTTAGATCGATATTGAAATGAAAAATGTTCTATGAATATCTAACTGATATTGTATATTTTGTATATTTTTTAATTATAATAAAATGGTTTAAATAAATATCCAAAAAAGAATGTTATAATTAATGTTTTTTTTTTACTACTTTAGTAATTTAATTTTACTATCTCGAGGAAAGTTTTTTTATTTTTCAAGAACATTTCAAACATGAATATGAATTTTTTCCTATCTGCAGTTAATACAAAAACAATTTCAGTAGACAGTGTCACTAAAAAGAAGTTGTGAACTTAAAATAACAAAGGAAGGCAACCGGCGGCCGAGCTTTTCTTTTGTTGGCATCGCAAGTTCGACGCCCAGAACGTTAATTCCGTCCCGGGCAATCCATAGTTGTTCCATAGAATTTATTTAGAGTGCAGGACGAGCAACAGGACGAACAGAACGAACAGGATAAGCAGGGAGAGCAGGACCAACAGGCGACTGACAGATAGACAGAGCCACCAAAGACAGGCCGTCAAAGTTGATGGCCTCCAGGCGGAGATGAGTGGAAGTTATCGTTTGAGAATTCCGCAGGTGAATTTCCATCTTCCCAGCTTCCCAGCTCCCCAGTTTTCCCATTTCCCTGACTCCAAATAAGCTTGCAGCATTGCGGCTGGCGGCATCTGCCACCGAAAAAAGCAGCAGAAGAAACTAGCGACGGAACACATAAATTGATTACGAAGACATTTCGCGACAAATTCGGCATATAACACAACAATTCGCTGGGGGAATCGGGGGAAAATCACCCTCGGATTATCGGAGTACCAGACATCAGTTTCCGGAAGCAATATCTACTCGTACTCGCAGATGTGCCAATGGCAATGGATTCTGAATGCCGTAATCTGCGACAGCCTGAGCCAGAAATCTAAAGCTCAATGCCCAAATACCCGATTCTCGGATGGCAAATCAATCGCGACAACTGTTGAGCAAGTCGCCGATGGGGATTCAATGGGGAATCTGGGAACTTGGCTGGAAAAGGAGGATTAACAGGTTGACAATACAGATTGATTTAATCAAAAAAGATTGAATATATATATAAATTTTTATTCTTGTTAAAATACCAACAGAATACCTGTGTCTTTAGTCTCATTCACAAAATTGGAAAAGAAATGTAGTCTGTACAGAATAATAATTTTAAGAAAAAAATTACACCATAAGATGATTAATATTAGAGGAGAGAATTTGTATATAGATTGTTTTACTTTTTATACCCTTGCAGAGCAAAAGGGTATTATAATTTCAGTCAGAAGTTTGCAACGCAGTGAAGGAGACACCTCAGACCCCATAAAGTATATATATTCTTGATCAGCATCACGAGCAGAATCGGAATCCGCCTGTACGTCTGTCCGTCTGTCCGTCTGTCCGTCTGTCCGTCTGTCCGTCTGTCCGTCTGTCCGTCTGTCCGTCTGTCCATCTGTCCGTCTGTCCGTCTGTCCGTCTGTCCGTCTGTCCGTTTCCGCGCAAACTAGTCTCTCAGTTTTAAAGCTATCGTGCTGAAACTTTCCCAAAAGTTGTGTAGTTGTTGCACGCAGTATATAAGTCGGAACGAGCCGGATCGGCCGACTATATCGGATAGCTCCAATACAAGGGAATGAAATAAAAAATTCTCACTCTGTTGTTTTTGATCAGATCGACTTGATTTCTTCTAGATGGCGTTTTCAAACAGTTTTTGAATTTCGGATTAAATTTGATCAAAATCGGATAACTCTATCATATAGCTGCCATAGGAGAGATCGAAAAATATATAGAATTAATGGAAATAAATTGATTACATCGTTGTTTTTTATCCCACGAGCATGATTTTTTGAATATCAAGTTTTCTAACCACGTTTATATTGAGAAAAAAGTTTCATAAAAATCGGACAACTATATCTTATAGGTACCATAGGAAAGATCGAAAGATCTATATAGAAATAACGGAAATAAAATTATAATATCGTTGTTTTTTATCAGATACGCATGATTTTTTGGAATATAAAGTTTTCTAACGACTCTTGAATTACGAATTAAATTTGATCAAAATCGGAAAGCTATATCATATAGCTCACATAGGATCTATAGTCGAAAATATGGAAAATGAATAGAAAAATAGTCTTAGCTTCGATGTTGTTTAGCCTTTAAGTACATATCGACATATTTGATGACTGCAAGGGTATATAAGCTTCGGCTTGCCGAAGCTAGCTTCCTTTCTTGTTTAAATACAAATTAATTAGTTATCAAAGTGATCTTTAATAGTTTCAATTCGTAAAAATATCTTACATATTTCTATCTTTCTATCGCTTTGAGATCGTAGATTCTGCGAACTACCGATCAAACTCATTAATCACAGCACAGAACTCCGAAAACATAACCAAGTCCCCCAGATTCTCACTTCAACGCCATTTATAATAGTTTTTTGCCTTAATCACGACAGTATTTGATATATACCTTTAGAACATAGTCTTACATTAGTTAATACGCTCTTGACTCAACAATTGCATACCAAATACAATTTTTTTATTGATTTTGCAACGCCTTTTGAGAGATTGAACGATCATTCGAGATGGCCCGAACACAAACCGTTTGCCGCTATTACTTGCGTGGCATTTGTGGCTTCGGTGAGTTTTGTCGATTCTCCCACGACCTGAGTTCCGGACAACTGGTTAAGCTGGAGCATAATGATAACCCTAATGAGAAGGATGAACTTCCGATAGCCAGTACCAGTAGCTGTGGACGCCAAAGCATCTGGGCGAACGCTCCGGTTTTTGTGCCGCGCTACAAATGGAACTCCGATTCCAATTCCAATCCGGATACGAAAACCAAACAGCAACGAAATCTGCACTCTGAGATTTGCCCCTTTGGAGCTCCCTGCATTTGGGGCGACCACTGTCCGTATCCCGTTCACCTGGAACTCTGCGAGATCTGCGATCTCTTCTGCCTGCATCCTGCTGACTTGGAGCAGCGTGAAGTGCACAAGCGCGAATGCCGCGAACAGCAGGCGAAGGCCTTGGACTTAACCTGTGCCATTGCTCGATCGAAGGATAAGACCTGCGGGATATGCTTCGATACCATTGTGGATAAGGAGGATCGCAAGTGCCGGTTCGGCATTCTGCCGCAATGCAGACACACCTTCTGCCTCGATTGCATTCGCCGGTGGCGACGCGCCAAACAATTTGCACAAACTGTGACCCGATCCTGTCCCGAATGCCGCGTCTACTCGGCCTTCGTCTGTCCCAGCTTGTTTTGGGTGGAGACCAAGGAGGACAAGGACAAGCTGATCCAGGGATACCGTACCGCGTTGGCGGAGAAGGACTGCAAGTACTTTCGCAAGGGCGAGGGTCGGTGTCCCTTTGGCAACAAGTGCTTCTATCGACACGCCACCGAAAGTGGCATCCTCATCGATGTGGGCTCGCCGCGGCAAGGTCGCAAGCCCCCAAGTCCCAATGAGGACGGCATCGATCTGCTCGACGATTACCAGTGGGAGGACTTCATCACCAGCATGACATTCGTGGGCTCCCGTTTCTGTTGAATTTAGCCGTTTCGAGCAAAACTTTCTCTTACCATTTTCTTCAATCCATCCATCCACCGAGCGGCAGAATGAGGAGCTCCTCAAAGGTTGAAGTTGCAAGCAGAAAAGCAGAAAAACAAATACTGTATAACAAAGAAATGAAAAAAGAATCATAAAACATAAAACATTTGCCCGCGAGCGAGATCCGTTTATGGATGAAACGAAGAATTGTGTATCCATCCATCCAATCCATCCAATCCATCCATCGTATCGTATGCAAAATGACTCGAAAAATGTATTTGGGTGCCAAATTTCGGTTAACATATTGTAGTGTGCGTCCCTCCCTCAATGTGACAAAATTAGAAGCGGCTTTTCGTACTTGTGTTAAATAAATTTTTAATCGAAATAAATTGTTACTATAGAACTAAGATTTCTTTGTTATCATTTATTTAAAAATTATTAAAAAATTTGTATGGCTTCAAGGGTAAGAAAATATACCACCATGGAAAAATATTAAAAGTTATCATTTATCAAACAAAATATTCAAATAAAGAAATCCTTCTTTACTTATTAGATTTTCGAACCCCAAATTAATAAATTAATAAAAAGAACATTTTGTTTATCTCATTATATGAAATGGCTTTATATATACTTTTTATTTGCTGTTCCCATTGTTTAGATAATGCTAAATCGGGCGGGCTTACCAGCTGTTGACATCGTACCACTCGGAGGGAGAGCAGAGGTTTCCGAACTCCCCATTGGTTCCGGATCCGCAACCCTGTGCTCCCCAGTCGCAGCTGGAGTAGATCTGGCGACCGATCATGTTGGTGGTGGCGTAGTTGCATGCCACCAAGACCTGGTTCCATCCATCGCGGTTGTAGCGAGCGGCTGCGCAACCCACGCGGGTGTTCCTCTCCGACATCATCACAGTGAAGTGGCCAATGGCACTGGAGATGAGTAGGAAGAGTTGCAATAAATACATCAAAGTAAATAAAAAATCCTGTATCTGAGATGGATTAATAGTAAAACAGCAGGTTGGCTTGCAATAAATCAAATCGATAATATATCCTTAACCTTTCCATATTTTATCATGTTATATAAAATAGTTTGTCAATATTCCTCAGACTGATTATTTTAATAAGTAAGAAGTTTAAAATGTAGATAAAAAATATTATTTTATACATTTGAAAAACTATAATGTTTTATTTATGAAAATTATATTCCTTTTTTAAGGGAACTTTATTATTTAAGGAACTTTAGATTCATAATTCTTCTTTGTTTTTAAGTTGTAATCAGTGAAATTCCCAAATAAATGGAATATATATATTAAGCTGGAACTTGAGCACTTTTTGCATTGTTTAAATTCTTATCTGTGTTTTAGCTAATTTCACTGGTAGGAATGCTTTTCGAATTAACTATATAACTAATTACTTTGTATACACAGCTCATAAGAGAGATATTCTTTTATCACCTTGCACTTGTTTTCATACTATTTGAACACACAAAAAAAATAAAAAAAATTCTATATTTCCCATAGTAACGCCACCCTTCACGAAAACTTACGGTCCGCTGTATCCGGATGGGTAGCCACCAGCGATGATTCCGGAGTTGGAGTTGTGCACCTCGTCGAACCACATCTGCACGCTGTTGTCGAGGATATATCCCATATCGGGCAGATCGCCGGAGTATGCCTGCCAGGCGAGATTCTGGCCGGAGTACTTGAAGGCATCGGTGTTGTGGCAGCTATCGTGCACCATGTTGCACTGCCGCACATTCAGGGAGGCCAGGTAGGCCAGCTCGTCGTCCCATTCCATGGTGGCCATTCGGCAGGCGGCATTGTGGTTGGGATCATAGCCACCGGCGATGTAGTTTCGCTTATCGTTGTGCGAGTGGACAAACACCCACTTGTAGTCGTCATTGATGTCGATCAGTTGGGCGTCTCCCGGGCAGCTGCTGTCCCACCAATTGCTGTGGCCACAGGCAATGTGCGATCCCCCGTTGCAAATGTCCCACGAACAGTAGTCGGTGGCCTGGGCCATGGCCAAAATCACGGCCAAAATGGCCAGCACTGCGAATGACTTCATTGCGACTTCGATTGAACTGAAAATCGATCTGTTTGTTCGTCGGCAAAGAACTGTGTTTTTATAGCGGATCTTTAGCCACTTATCTTTAGGTGGATGTGCCCCAAGTGCATTCATAAATCAGTAGAATATAGTACCATATTCTTGTAGCCAAAACCCCATTTGAATTGCAGACCAGGCCGAAATCTAATCGAACGCCTTATATTTACGAGTGCCAATTCGGTGGCGCTCAATCAGTTTCGCCAAGTAGCTATAACTATATATAAGATTAGATTTATTTTACAGGGAAAATTGAGTGGTTATTAAGCGAAAATTATATATTAGTTAGAGTAGAAGGAATAACTAAACTAATTCTTTAATTAACATGTTCAATAAATGTTAGAAATGAGGACAAACAAATGTAGGAAACTTATCGTAAAATAAGTATTAAAATACTTAAATAAAACATTTCTCTCACTTTTTAATACCTTTAAAAATAACCCCTTCCTGACTGAGTATATAAAAAGCCATATAAATAAATAAAAAAACATTTTCTCCAGTCAACAATGATAACTTTGTAGATAAGAAGTCACTTGAGGTAGGTCACATCCTCGTGCAGACTTTTTCGACAAGAACCGATTGAGGATCGATTTATGGAGCACTTCCTCAGTCGAAAATGCTCGTGCAGAGACCAACTACCAACGCGATTAGTTCAATTAGTATTGAAATTATGGCACCATTTAAGTAAAGCCACCGGATTCATAGCGTTTTATTAGTTTGTTTTCATTTCTTATCATTGCGGAGACAAGCAAGCAAAACAAAAAATAAAAATAAATTAAACTAAAGCTTATTTTTTTATCATTTAAAATAAACTACTGCTTCTGGAAATCTTCCTGTGTTTTATCGTAAAGATTTATTAAATTGTAATAAGAGTTTAATCATCACATTACTTCATTAGGATTCGATTATTACATTCACTTTTTATCTTATCAAATGGTAACCAACGTTTCCTGGAAGTAAAGCAACATGTATTTGTGTTTCTACATCCAAGACTAGCCTTCATCTGAAATCGTATATCTTATCTTTCAGAAGAAACAACAGATATCTCAGCAGTTCTGCTGAAGAAACAATAATTGCCAGCAAATAGCGTAATTAATTGTTAACTTAATGATTAATTACCTTCATTTCTAGGTTTATATATTTTTATTTACATACTAGAGGGCCTGTGTCCGCTTCGCTGGTCAACACAATTTAACAACATAAAAGTCAATGTTGCAACATTTTTCAAATATATGGAAGTATAGAAAGATGGTTATTTAACACTTTTCCAGTTTGACTTCTCCACTTGCGCAGCACAATCCAGCCGTTTCTCTTTTAAACTTTAACGCACTGCAATATCGGTATATAGTCGCCATTGGTCCAATATCTAAATTTTCATTATCACTGTATTTCGCAGTGGGATCATATTGGAATACCAAGCGATTGAATGATGCCAATGATCTCCATGTGCTCATTTGTCTTTCTTCGCTTAAGTTTTGTGAATATACTTGTTGCTGGCTTGGATGTCTGCGGCCAATGTTTGCACGTCGTCCTCTAAGCATTTTGGACTATGGACAGAATGGTGAATTAATCCTCAAATGCACGTTCAACATAATTTTCACAGTTCAACTTAAATTGAATAAAAATTCTTTTTTTTTCACAATTTCACAGTGAACACAAAAATTGAGTTAAAATGCTAAGGGAGCGTGTTTGTCAGTGTGATGAGGTAGCAACTCACTTTATATGCGACAATACTGCAATTTTCTTACGGATCCTTAATTTTTTCAAAATAAATTATAGCCTATTTAACTCCACGATAATATAGCTTTCTATCGGTGAAAGAATTTTTTAAATCGGACCAGTAGTTCAGGAGCCTATTCCCTGCAAACAAACAAACAAACAAACAAACAAACAAACAAACAAACAAACAAACAAATTTTACCTCTTTATAATATTAGTATAGAAGTATAGATGAGCTTAATTTCTTTACTTTTTAATTCTTATAAGTAAACCTTTAAAAACCTTTAGTAAAATTAGTTTGAGCCCTTCTAAAAAGAAATTCCATTTGATTACCAATTCTTAATCCTCCAAAAAGTAATAAATTTTGTAAACTTTTGAAAAATGATAGCCCAATTAACGCTGTTATTTATTGATCCACAATCACTAGTAGTTGAGGTTGTTGACATCGTAGACCTCCTTGGAGCTGCAGAGGTACTTGTATCTGGGATTGGTGCCCGTGGTGCACTTGCTCGCTGCCTTCGAGCAGGAGCTGTACATCTTGATGCCGAGGACATTGGTGGCCGCATAGTTACAGGCGAGTAGGAAGGCCTTGTAGGACTGACCAGGAACCGAATAAGTGGCAGCTGCACAACCCACATCCGTGTTGCGATCGGCAACGAGTACAGTGAAGTGTCCAATTGCCGGACCATTGTAGTTCGATGGATAGGCATCGATGTAGGCCTGTTTGGTGTACACATGCTCACTGTACCACATGTCCACTCCCCACTCAAGATAGTGGGTCACATTCAGGGGATCGTAGTAGCCCATCCAGGCAAGATTCTGGCCAGACCAATCGAAGGCATCTGTGTTGTGGCATCCATCGTGGCGCATCGCACAGCTCTTCACGTTCAGGGAAGCCAAGTAAGCCAACTCGTCGTTCCACTTGATGGTGGCCATCCTGCAGGCGGCACTCAAGTTGGCATTCAATCCTCCGGCGATGATGTTCCTGTACTGGTTCGTCCTGGCCACCAAAGCGTCCTTCTGCGCGGAAGTCAGGGAAACCAGGGCAGCATCACTGGGACAACTCGAATCCCAGGCCTAAAAATAAATTAAATATTTACACGATTTTAATATAAAGTCATTGGGTTAACAAACAAAAATATTTAAATATTTATTTACATATTTTATATATGATTTTGTGTGGGAAGTTAATACATATATATATATTTATTAGAGAAAATTGGAAATGAAAAAAAAAATATAAAATTCAACTGAGCAACCATAATTTATTTTCAAATTTAATTATGAAATTGTATAGCACCAGCTTTGCTTTCTGTTTTTGTCAGTTCTACAAAGCAAATATTTAAAACAAATTTTTGAATGTGAAGTTAAATAACCATTGTTTTCTTGATAACAAATGTTTTGTTTTTATTTATTCTGTTGGTGTCAAAAAAAAAATTGAATGAGTCATCTTTTATCTTTGAAAAATAACATTAGATGTTATTATTATGTCAAGATAAGCTTGTTCTTTGCTGGCTTCTTTTAATAATTAAATTGTAATTAAATCTAAAATAAGATGATACAATATTTTGATTGCCTAACTATCCAACTATCAAAGGAGTTACCAAAAATATTATGCAAAAAAATAACTTCAAAGATTTACAACTTGTTTTGTTTTCGTCGTAAAATCCAAAGTACTCCCATATCATTTTTATCTCCATCGTTGGAGATTGGATTATCCAAACCCTACCGAAAAGAGAAATCCCATGAGCTCACCCCATTGTTATCGCATCCGAGATTCTTGGTGCCGCCGCAGCTCTTCTTGCAGTAGTCCGTGGCGGAGGCGACTCCGATGGCCAAGGAGAGGCAGACGATGATCGCAGTGCTTCGCATTTCTATTCCGGCAACTGATTGCTGGCGATTTCCACGAAGCCACCGGCTTTTATGGCAATCGCTGCTGAGCGGTTCTTTTTCCATTTTTTTTTTTTTTTTTATCAACATTTGATTAAATATTTACCGCCGGAGTGTCTCATTTGTCCCAGGTGAGTTTGCCGCCCAGCTTTTGTGTGTGGGAGGGTGTTCAAATATGTAACGGGTGGCTCCACCTCCCACTTTTCCCCCACCCAAAAAGACGTCATTCGATCAGTGTGATAAACAGCCGTGTTTTTGTGGAAACCCACTGAGAGTTCTTCGCCGCTGAGCCACTGGTATCACTGATTGTTTTTTAAAAAAGCCATCATGTTATGAGAAAAAGAAGTTAATGAGCAGTGCAAAAAAAAATCAGAGAAAACAACAAAACAGACGCCTCTTTGTCTTTAATCTATTATTTACAGCCCTTTTGAAAAGAACCTAAAAGATTGAGCAGAAACACCTTGAAGAATTCTGGCTTTCATTAAGATATGGAAAAACCCTACGACTTAATGGAAATATTATTTCCTTCCTGTGCTTTTCTAGAAAGTATTATATTTTGTGAACCCCCCAAAAACACAAGAATCCACTACCGAAGGCATTAAAAATATTTGCTTTGGAGTTAGCTCAATAAGAGCGAACAAAGTGCTCGGCAAATTGGCTCAAATAAAAGCAAAAATAATAATCTAAAAAATAATAGAACCATTTGCAACCCCTGCTGGTATGGAAATACAAATAGCATCCCTTGAGAGCACACATTGCAACAAATAGAAAGAGCGGCACGTGTCGTGATGACCCTCTTACCAGTTTCGCCATTCAAATGTTGGCCCAACTGCCAACCCGACGACAACCCAACAATTGAAAGCCAAATGCAAAGTAGACAAAAGCCAACAGATCAAGTGCAAAACCAACTAGCCAAGACAGCCAGTGTGGGCCAGAATATTTGCCCAGCTGTTACCGGCAGCCTTAAGTTAAAAAAAAAAAAATGAAATAAAAGACTCTGATTGCGAGTTTAGCCAAAGGAATATTCCCAAACTATTTTCCAAGTTCCAGTAATTGTAAACTTAATGTTGAAAAGATCCCTTCCCTGAAATAAATAAATGCGCCACAAGCATGTTTATATTTTTGTATATATATTTTTTTTTTTTGACATATTTGATATGCTGACATTTTATGTATTTCTAGTAGGGTTTTGTTCTTATCCAAACAGGTCTGTTCCATTTTCCAAAACCAAAACTCCCACAAGGGATCATTTCTCTGGTCTTTTTACTTATAAAATAATTTCTTTTATTTAGGTTTCTTTTTGTGCCTTTAACTTAAACCCAAAATTCAAACCCTAATTCTTAACCAAACCGTTTTAAAGGGCCAGTTCTGTAAAAAAAAAGGAAATGTTCAAATGATTTTTTAATCTATTTGATTTATGGAATTTGGAACAGCCAACTTGATAATTGCATTCATAAATCCAAGACCTCCAGACTTTGTAATCCTGCTCATAAGGCCCTTTACCACCGCTATTTGTGTAGATATAGACAGATCGCTGCCATTGCATATAATGTTTAATTCTTTACCATTTACTTTGTTTAAGTACAGAAAAATAAATATACTTGCACACCGTTTTTTTTTTTTTAGTTTTAGTTTTAGTTTCAACTTCTTCTCATCTTCTGCATCCGTGTACAATCATATGAATGTGTATATATATATATTTATATATAGATATATTTATTCCAGCTTGTTTTCCGTTTCATTTATATGTACATATATATTTGATGTATACAGATCTGCGCTATTCGTGTTTATATTTGCATAAGAAGTTTTATCTGTGGGCTGTTTGCAGTTTTTTGCAGTAGCTGTGGTTGTTTTTGTTGCCTTTATCGTTAAATGTTGTTGCTCTTCGTGTAGTTCAATTAATAATATTTGGCGCTGCTAAGGCGACTTTATAAAGTTTCACACACAAAATATGGATTTGTTTGTTTACATTTTTCTTATTTATCATTTGCACAGTTGTACGAGATTTTGTTTCAGTTTCACTTCATTACTTGGTGTTTGGTGTTTTCGGTTATATTTTTTTGGGTCGGGGAAACAATATCAAGAATATGTTGTCTCTGCATCTTACGTTTCTAGTAATTGTAAATCATATATATCATATATAATATTATGTATCCTATTTACAGATCTTACAGACACGATTACACTGAAGTTAGCAGTTAGCAAATGAATTTTGACAATTGTGCAGCAGCCAACAGAGTGGAGTTTCACTTAAAGTCACTCCGCTTAGAACTCTGGAACTTAAACTAAAAATTCGCAACATCATATTTGGAATACAAAAGCTAAGTTTAAGCCAGTTTGTGGTTGAGCCCAAGAGTAGGCAACATATAAGGTCAAAAAGACGCTTGGCGTGGTAACAAAAAGCGTTGGAGGTTCACACAAGAAACAAAAAATAAAAAACCAACAGATGATTTACGTATCTTCCATCTTAAATATATTAATTATCCATCAATCGATGAGATTTCTCAATTTCCGTTTAAATGTAAAATTCGAATTCAAGGTGGCGCAGTCTAAAGGCATTTTTTCCAGCCTTACAATAATATCGGGGAAAATTATTTATAACACTTGGTTTTTATTTACAGCTTGTCATGCATTGTTGTGGCTTCGTATAAATGGCCAAATCTTTGCTTATTCGATTATCAAAATGATACATATACATTTATATATATATTCGTACATTTATAACATATTTATGGGACTTTAATGGGGAAGCCTAACTGCTTTCCCTTCGCCACAATTAAATCCTTAGGAGGACTAAGCGCACTAAATGATGAATTCATGGATTAGCATTTGGATATCTCGAATTCGCGGCTAAATATCAAGTTTAATTTCGTATTTAGCTTTTTTGTTTTTGTTTTTGCACGCGGGATAGTAACTGGAACGCTTAACTGGGTAACCAATGACTACATGTTCACATATAGATTTTTCTGCATATACTATATATATATACGAGTTAATACCTACTAGCCGCAGTAAAGTAAACGGACTTACATCTAAAAGTGCCATAGATCAGCTTTAAGTGCCTCTGCTTTACATAAATATATTCATATATATAATATATCTGTTGCCTATCTCTAGATTTAGTTTAGTTTACTTTAGTTTAGGTTGGTTTATTGTAAATTATTAGACACCATTTGCGTATAGCAATAACAACGTGTTGAGTGTTTAACGCTCCCATCTTCGCCAATCTTTCAATCTTTCAATATTTTTTATCTTTTTATCTTTACTCCCTCAGCTCTTCAGCTGATTGAAATTGAACCGGAGCCAAATGCGATTGGGCTTGAGTTTGCTGCTGCTGCAGTTGCTGATTTTGTTGCTGCTGCTGTTGCTGTTGCGGATTTTGCTGCTGATTTTGCTGCTGCTGCTGTTGTGCCGGCGAGGTAGGCTGTCCAAACTTGCTGGAGATCTTGTGCGAGGCATTCACGATGGCCAGCTCGTGCTTCGAGTCCAGATCGCAGTCGTACAATCCGCTCAGCGAGTCCAGGCTGAGCAGGCGGGAACTGGCCCTGCTGGACACCGAGGTGTCATCCACATCCGGTGCGTTGTACAGTGAGTTAACATCCGAGAGTGCTCCTTCAGCATCGGTGAGACCCGCCTCGTTCAGCAGCGAGATGTTCTCCAGTCCGGGCTCATCTGTGATATAGCCCGTGGATTCAGCTCCTCCTAGAATAACAGAAAACATTAGTTGGTTTATTAAAGAATAATATACGGAGGTGGAAAAAATAATTAAAGGTGCCTTAAAATGTTTATTTATAAGGAAAACTAATATAATATAAAAAAATTATTAATTGTTAGGAGGGATTATTATAATTATGAAATAGTTTACGTTTGAATGTAATTTACGTTTTAAATATATTACTTTTCAAAAAAGAAAAAATTGATAAGTCCCTGTTTCTTTGAATTAAAATCATTGAAAAGCAACACAACTAAACTAATATAATATAAGATAATATCAATTTAATAATTAGGAAAGATTAAAATTAAAGGTAATGAATTAGATTTAATAAATAGGCTAACAAATTTCTTTTAAAAGGAAAACACTTATAAATCCCAGCTTCATTTAACTAAAATTGTTACAAAGCACCATACTTAAACATTGCCCTTCCAATATTTTTGCCACCACTGTAAGGAATGTGAGTGTAAAGAGTTATCACCTGTGGCTTCCTCGCGACAGTCGTCGTCCGACCACTCCGACTGGCTCTCCAAGGGATTGGAGTCCATGGACTGGTGGTTGAGATGCGCCGCTCCGTACTTCAGCTCGTCGTTTATCACATTCGCCTCCAAACCTCGGATGCTGCCATTTGTGAGCGGAGCAACCTCCCTGTGTCCTCCATCCCGCTGATGGTTGTGATGGAGTTGGTGGTGTTGGTGGTCCTCATCCTCATCGTCGTCGTCCTCATCCTCGTCTCCCCCTTCATTGTGATGATCACCTGCTTCGCCTGCCCCACCAATTTCCCCCTTTTGTGACTGAGATCGGACTTCTGGAGACGCCGCTGGCGAACATCGCGACCCACTTCGTCATCCTCGAACTCCTCGTCGGCCAGGTTGTCCTCGGTGTCGTCACGCTCCTCCTGCTCCTGCACATGGTTGTACCGCTGTTGCTGCTGTTGTTGTTGCTGCTGTTGGTGGTGCTGCTGCCTCTGCTGCTGGTGGTTGTGGTTGTGACTGTGACTGTGGTGATGGTGGTGGTGGTGGTAACGCTGGTGGCGCTGCTGCGACTGCACCGCTTGCACCGCCGGTCCATCCAGTCCGTCCAGGCTCTCGTGGCTGTACTGCAGCTCCTTGGAGCGCGGCCGCTGGCGATGGCTCCTCTGCGGCGGATGGGGATGGTGTACGTGACCGCCGTTCAGCTCCTTCGCCGTTTGCATCTCCAGCATGGCCAGCACATGCATCTGGCTGCGGTTCTCGTGCAGGATCTCGCAGGATTCCGTGTCCGAGGTTTGCCTGCAAGAATCACAATCGCTTTATTGGTTTACCTCTTAATATAATAGATATTTTAAAGAGTTAGCTACTAAGTAAAAGTTAAGTAACACAGGGCCACCCAAACACCGGTTATGAAAGCGGCGAGCCTTCACCACATGACATGGAATGGAAGCTGTCCTCATGGTCAGCGATGGGAAAAAGTGTATCAGGTAGGTGGGTTTATTGTAAAGTGCGTTTAACAGAAAATAAAACTGGTTGGGGTATAAAATATTAATTTGTAATTAAAGTAAAGGTATATAAATAAATCTAATTTAGAATCTATGTTTTTAAAAAATGTTTAAAAGTGAATTATCTCAACAATGAATTTTAAATTCTATCCTAAAACCTATCATTTATAAACAAAATTTTTAAAAGGAATACTATATCTTTTAAAAGGAGATACAAATAAGTTTATAAAATATTAATATTACAAACAAAATGGGTTTGATAAAGGAATAAGCCAAATATAATCTCAAATAATCTCTTAAAGGAATTATGACTTTTCTTAAACCCTAAAAAATAGTTTTTTTTTTCAAATTGATTCTCTCCAAGGATTTCTACAATCTACTTTAACTTACTACTTTAAATCAGCAAAAAATGACTTAGTACTTGGATTTCATTCCTTCTATTTTGTACCATCAAAAACTATTTGAATTAATATAAAACTAATCCATTCTGAATTCGTATAACCTCTTGACCACCGAAAAAAAAAAAAAAAAAACAGTTTCCCATCACTGGTCCATGGTGTACTCACATTTGGCTCGACTCCGAGGGATTCTTGTTGCGCGTTATCTCCTTGATGGCCTCCAAGCCAACCGGATGCTTGGCGATCATGAAGCTACTGCTTCCGGGCAACTTGCCACCACCGGTGGCCATCGATGGCAGATCATGATCCGCATGCTGCTGCTGCTGCTGATCGGATTTGTGGTTGTGGCTGCTGTTGTTGTTGCCACTATTTGAGTGGCTGCCGCTGCCGCCGCTGAGATTGCCATTGCTGCTGCCACTGCCGCCGCTGCCGTTGCCCGCCGCCGATCCCGAACCGGAACCGGAACCAGATCCGGAACCAGATCCCGAACCCGATCCAGTGGCTGCCAGTCCATTGGTGGAACTCAGTTTCCCATTGCTGATGGAGTAACTCAACTCGCGACTGCCATTGCTAGCCGAATGATCTGTGATGGAAATGGCATTGGTTGCCGCTCCTCCAGTTGCACTTCCAGTTGGATTGGCCAAGCAACGAGCACGCGACGATTCATTGAGCAGGCGCTGCAGTTCCCTCTCGAATGGTGACTTCGTGGTGGACGCGGCTGGAGCCATTCCCGCTGCCAAGCCAACTGCACTCTTCTGGTAATCGAAACTGTTGCAACTGTCGCCTTTGTGTTGCGTGTTGCTCGTGGTGTTGCTCGTGGTGTGATGGCCCTGACTCTCGGTGGTGGAGCTCAGTTCGAAGTCGTGCAGCTGTGCCATGTCCACCACCGGCGATGTGGGATCCACTTGGATGTCGCATGGATAGAGCCACTGCAGGGGATTCACCAATCCTCCTCCGGCTGGCAAGTGATAACCGTTGCGATGCAGGTGACTTCCGCCGTTGAGGATGCGCGGTGAATCCTCATCGCCGTCGCCCTCGCCCTCGCCCTCGGTGGTCTTCGAGTAGCTCTCATCGGAGCTGCTCATCGAGGGCGAGTGCGGCCGGGAGCTGAGGTCATCCGTGGAGGACATGTCCCGGCTCTCCTCCAGATCGGCTGGTAGCTTCGGCAGCGGCTTCATGTAGCTCCTGAGCGCCGGTTTCGGCGGCAACTGCGGCTGCTGCGAGTACATTGCATACTGTTGCTGCTGCTGCTGTCGCTGCGGATTCAGTTGCTCCTGCTGCTGCAGGTGATCCTTCGACTGCTGATCCTGTAGGGGATTCCCCTGCTGATGATGCTGGAGTTGCTGATGCTGGAGCTGCTGATGCTGATGCTGCGACAACACGGTGTGGGGAGAAGTGTAACGTGGTGGCTCGTACTTTGGCGCATGCTGCATGGGCATGATCTGGGGTTTCGTGGTTAGTCGGACATGAGCAAGCGAGACAGAGAGAGAGAGAGAGAGAAAGAGAGAGAGAGAGAGATAGATGTGCGGGCATGCAAAGAGTGGACACAGAGAGTTAGACACTTGGATCACACATATGGTATATATAGATATGGGGAGTGGGCATCGGGGGCACGAACAGACTGGCATGTAAAAAACGTGGCAAAAATGAATTTGCTAAATATTTTAAATAATGTTCAGAATTAAAAAAAAAAACAATAAATCTATTTTAAAAAATCCTGCTCAATTACTTAATCCTCTATTTATTATTACTTTTTAAATATTTTTGGCAGATGCGTAATCACTTCAAAAGTTTAGTCACAATAAATAATCTTTGTAAAGAGAACCAAAACTTTCATTTTAAAATTTGATATAAAATAACTAAACTGAGTCATCAACACTTCAAGTAATATTATTAGTTTGAGATCAATGAGAGTCTCATTAAAAACATTCAATTAAAATTCAATAGGAATAAAATTCATAAATTCCTATTTCATAAGTTCGACAATGCCATTAAAAAAGATCTTTAGAAGCTAAACCTTAAAGAGATTGGTTTTTAGACGGAATCAATTAAGCTTTAAATCGATATTTGGCATATACCCATGAAATGTGCTACATAATGATTGATCCGCTTGCATAATGCGTATAAATCTAAAGTCCTTAAAACCATTATCATCCTAAGTTGGTCCTGTTTTCACATTTACATACATACAAGTCTATTCATAATCTTTGGCATTAGTTACAAATGGGATGGACATGGGTTTCGGTTCGGGTTTGGGTTTGGTTTCGGGTCTTTGGTTATTGGTTACTGGGTAACTGGTTACTGGGTAACTGGTTACTGGTAATTGGTTACTGGTAGGTAATTACTGGTGGGTTACGTGGGTGGCTACGTGGGGCACTGTCTGAGGAGTGGTTGAGTGGTGGTGGCGGTTCAGAGGAGGATCTCCTTGCTCCAGAGCAGATGCTCCTCGGGAGCAGCTGCTCCTTCATCGTCTTCGTCTTCGTCTTCACTCACCTTGGCTACCGGCGCGACGCTGCTGGCATGCAATAGCGGCTCGCTCTCCCGGCAGTGGCTATAGCCCAGACTGGTGAACGATGTCGGGTGCTGACCCACGTTCATGCTCATGTTCATGTTCATGTTCATGTTCAGATTCAGGTTCGAATGGAGGTGATGAGGCGGTGGTGGATGATGGCCATGCTGGTTTAGGGGCGGCGCATAATTTCGATCTCGATCGCGATCTCGCCGTGGCATCATGAAGCAGTCGCCGCCAATCACGCCAGTCCCTCCACCCACACCCACACCCATTCCCATTCCCATTCCCGTTCCCAATCCCGCACCCATTCCCATTCCCAATCCATTGGATGGATCGAGACTGCCGTGATGCGGCGGCAGCTGCTCCATTTGCGTATGCCGGCCACCATTTGTCGGGTTCTCAATGATATTAAACTCGCGCAACATTACCGGAATCTGATTCGTTTGCTGTTGCTGCTGGTGGTGCTGCAACTGGAGCTGGTGGTGCAGGAGGATTTGGTGCTGATGCGGCACTGCCACAGTTGCTGCTGTTGCGGGAAGAGGATGGTGCTGGAACTGGAGTTGGTGGTGCTGGAGGGGCTGGAGGGGAACCGCCACTGCAGCCGGCGGTGTCGTCGTCGTTGTGGTCACCATAAAACCACCATGATTCGTCTGCTGCTGCTGTTGTTGCTGTTGCTGCTGCTGTTGTTGTTGCTGCTGCTGCTGCTGCTGTTGCGATTCGCCATTGTGACCGTTGCCATTCTCTCGTATATTGGGCAAGCCACCATTTGCCATGAAGATTGGCTGCTTCTGCAGTTTGCTATTCAAACGCTGCTGCTGCTGCTGGTGGAGATGGTGGTGCACTGGAGGCGGTGGTGCGGGTAGCGGCAGCGGATCGAGCTGTTTGTGCTGGTGCTGCAGCAGCAACTGCTGCTCCTCGCCACCATTGCCAGCGTACAAATGTCCGTTCTCCTTCTTGCTATAGGTGTCTGTGTTCACCCGATTCTCCGGGAACTGGGAGACCTTCATGTAGTAATCCGGAGCATGGAGGCTCTGGGGCAGCGACATGGCATTCCGCACCTCGCCGTTCAGCGATTTGTTGCCACTGTCGCACAAAAAGTAGGTGACCATGTCGCCTTTGCCCTTCACTTTTATGGTTCCGCGACAACTAAAAAAAAGGGAATTCGATTATAGGTAAGATTATTTATTTCTTTATTAAAGTTAACTAACCGGAATTCAAAGTGCGAGCCCACCAGGCTGTCCACCACCTCCTGGGTGACCTGCGAGTAGCCAGGCACTCCGGTGGAGTCCATGCGACTGGCCACGTTCACCGTGTTGCCCCAAATGTCGTACTGCGGCTTTCGGGCTCCAATCACACCAGCCACAACGGGTCCAATGTTGATGCCTTCAAAAAGGGGATATTACATTTAAATAAATCTCGGGTTTTGATATCTTGGGAATATTATTAGAAGAAACTATGTAATAGAAGCCTTTACTGATTCTGCAATACTTTCTTGTATAGGAAATAAAGGAAACAGAAATATTTTGCTTAGCTTCGCTAATTCTCAGATATTCCGAACCATTTACTAATTTAAAACCAACTCGTTTTCGAATCTATTTCTTAAGCCTTTTCTCTTGCAGGTTGATCTTGAAATACTTTTATTTGTAACTGATCCTATATATCCCATTTCAATGTCGAATACCCACCCACTCGCAGCATAAAGTTGTTGTACGAATGGCTGTTGATCTCCTGCAGGGAATGTCGCATCGCCTTCACATATTCAATGAGCGCCGTCATGTGGCGCCTCACCGAATTGGGATCGTTGGGCTGGATCTTGTACTCGGGAATCAGACCCACGACAGCCATATAAGTGCTGCCCACGGTCTTGATCTTGTCGATGCCCCGGAAGCGATCTTCCTTGAGCAGCTCGTCAAAGTCAGCGATGATCTCGTTCAGCAGACGCAGGCATTCGAGTCCCTGATCGGAGCCATCCATCTCGGTGTAGAACTCATTGAAGTTGGGAACGCTGGCGAAGATTACGCCTACTTTGGCATAGCTTTGATGGTAGAGCTCCTGTGAGGAAAAGTGATACATTTATTAATATAAAATGCAATACAAAATAAACCACAAATTGAGGAGAAATATTGTAAAGTACAGTCTGTAGATTCATCAATATTAAATCCAACAATAAACTTTACAATATTTATATACATTTTTTCAGTAAACAACCAAAAACCTAAAGTTTATAAAGACGAAACATTTTAAATTGTGCCACAGAGATATTGATCGGGATTTCCTTTGTCCCTCTAGCTCTCCATCACAACTTGAGTTCGATTTCTCTAAAATTAACAGTGGGTCACCCAGTTCTCACCATATTATTGCGGAATTGCGCATCGAGGAAATGTGCAGCCACATGAGCGGGCAGCAAATTGTGCAGAATGCGCTTGTTCGACTCCTGCAGCACGTCCATCTCCTTCTTTTCCTGGGAGGCCTGCAGTTGCCACAAGAAGTCCAGACGGGCAGTGCCCTCCACCAAGCGTCCGTGGACCAGAATGGCAATCATGAAGATGGCAATCCGTGCCAGCGAGATCAAATGAAGCGGAATCGAGGCGCTGCAAGCGGCCAGGTAGCAATGAGATATATTTAGTGAATTTGGATTAGTGGGACTGGCGATGACCTACTTGACCCGGTTGTCGTAGCACTCGAAGATGTTCTGATGCGAAAGTTCGATAAACAGACCGTAAATGGTGCCCATTCCAAGGACCAACAGGGATTTGAATATGATGGGTAGCCTGTAGAGCAATTTAAGATTGAATTCAAAGAGTTGTTTTTAATGGGAACTTTATGGAAAACTCACCTGAGGAACACGGAGACCGATAGAAAAGCAAAGGCTGCGGAAAGGGACACGTACTGTGGCAAGGAGCACTTGCGATGGGAGTCCAGTTGGTAGGATGTCGTCCCATTTCCCGAGCAAGGATGGTCCGAAACACACGTAAACTGTTTGCAAATGGTAAATGGCACAAGGTAAGTAACTACATACTTGCTTGGTTAGTAATTAGTAATTACTTCTACTGCATTCAAGTGCTAATTTAATATTTATGGCTCTGCATTACATTGCATTTATTGTATTTTTTTGTGCATTTTGCAAGGCAATTCTTTCACCCTTTGAATTATTTAGTGTAACCCATTTACAACTGTCTGTTCGTTTCTAATTAGCTTTGCAGTTGAAACTTTCTTTGATTAAATATTCAGTTAATAACTTCAAGTTGGAATATCTGTATCTTGTATCTTTGGTTTGTGGTTTTACATGGTAAATGCATTAAACATAACACCAATGTTTTATATGATTTTAGAAAGAATTTGGTTTAGCTTTTGATTTGTTTTACGAATTAAGAAGTATCAAGAAAAGTTTATAACTTAAAAATTAAATTGCAGGAGTTTAAAAACATTTCTAAATAGTTTAATGTTTCTTTTGAAACATTGAAAATTAATGATTACAAATTTAATATATTAAACTATACTTCTTTCTTTTTTAGGATAAGTTATAAAAGCTGTATCTTTCTTTTTTTAACTTCTTTCTTCTAATATAATTTAGAGTGTTTACTTACCACATTAACCTGTCCCACTGAGTAGATGAGGATGACGGTGAAGATGGTGATGGCCATCCGCAGCGAGAAGCTCTCGGAGATGTCCCAGATGATCCACTTGAGCCGCACGGCGAGCAGGAGCATCAGGATGGCGCTCACCCAGACGAAGGCGGTGAGGAAGAGCAGCAGGAGGATGAGGGTCCTCGGCAGAGCGGTCACCTGGAGAGCTGCTCCCAAGATCAACAGCAGGAGCGAGCAACCCATGGCGGTGGTGAAGCCGAGATCGAAGTCCTTGTGGTACTCCCGCTCCATGTCGCTCTGCCGGAAGCGCAGGGTCAGCCGGTCCACGTGCTCCGACTTGTCGCAATCCACGGATCTGGCATTGATCGCTTGCGAAAGGAAGCGGTTCACCCGATTCGTGGGCTGATGGTGTGCAGCCACCGAGTGCCTCTTGCGAAACGGCCTCTTGAACTTGTCCGCCACCTTCGATTGCGACTGCGGATGTGGTCGCGGATGCGGATGCAATTGCGGTTGCGGATGTCGATTATCGATTGTCGATTGCGAATTGCGGATTTGGAAAGCCATGCAAAGTGGGAGCAAAAAGTAAAAAGTAAAGTGAAACATTCGTTAGATGTGGTTTCAATTCCAGAAAAATAATTCTTTTATTTTTTTTTTTTTTTTTTTTTAGCTGGATGGCTTGGCACTTGAAACTGGCTGGTTGAGTTGAAGAATTAAGAATTAAGATCGAAGATATAAGAAAGCTCTACGGTGTGTGCGGTGGGGAATGCGGGCACAGTTCACTACATGCTCATGGCAACTCAAGAGGCAGCGAGCAGAGCTGGGCTGGGAACTTGCAATCGGTGGAAGCATGCGGGGCAGGATCTGGTGATGAGCCACGAGGAACATGCACCTCGGACGCAGAATCGCTGGATGGCTGATGGAAATGTGCAGCTGCAGCTGGCATTTTGCGAGCTCGCCAATGACACTGAACCAAATTGAAAACTTCGACTCGAATACTAAACAGCTGTAGCTGTAATCATAATAGAACAAATTTCGATCTTGCTTTCCCTTCAAAGGGTTCGTTTTCTCTATAGTATAAATAATAATTCATAAATATAAAATAACAAACAATGCCATGCTTTGGTAAAAATCTTTAGACATAAATACAACTATTTAAAAAAAAAAAACAAGTGTAGCAAACAAAAGTTATTTGAAAAAATAAAACAACTAAATATAATATAATAACAACTTGTTTTAAGATGGGGTAATATTATTAACAATATTATATTATATTATTATAATTCTTTATATGTTACAAAACCCCCTTTTACGACTAATATTTAGAATTTAGAATATAGTAGTTCCCTACAAGTAACCAACTAGATTACGCATACGCAATGTTGACTGTTTTTTTTATTATTGTTTAAGAATTTATCCCATTTTCTACTATTTTGGTCCAGTGTCTTGCAGCTCGAAGAAAGCGAAACGGAACATTCAGAACTCGGCCTGACGAACTTTTGCCTGGAAGCCCTTCCAGATGCAAAACTCGATTTGGCCAACGAAACAAGTTAACGAATGAACCAAGCACACTCATGAATCAGTTACACTTAACACATTTATTGAACGATTGTGAATGGACGAAACACAAACTGAAGGCCTCTTTAAGGGATTTGAGTACTCATCTGAGTTTCTATATTACTTCTGTTTTTTAATATGATCTCAAAATATAAATTATTACTTCTTTCGTGCTCCAGTTTTACAAAATATATCTTCATAAATTTCTGTACTTTTTATATAGATTTTTTTTTGATTTGAAAGTTTAATTAAGTTTAAAATAAACTCAAATGAGATCCCAGTATCCGTAAAAAAGAGGTCTTGAACGAACGAACGAACGCAGGAACGGTTGAACGAAAGTATAGAATGTTTTTTGTAATATTTTTGTTTTTTGTTTTTGTTTTTGTTTTTTTTTTTTTTTTTTTTTTTTGGCTGCTGCTCTGCTCACTTTATTGTTCTTGTGATTGTGCCTATGAATGCGACTAATCGTACTCGCTGTTGAGTTGGGATTTGTGCCTACGGTCACTTGGACACTGCCCCCACTGGCAATGCCGGCAATGCCACTGCCATTGCCATTGCCATTGCCACCGCCACCGGAAATACCGCCACCAGCACCACCAACGCCACCGGAAATACCGTCGACGCTGCCATATCCCACAATGCCGTGCGGTGGCGGTGTTGCATGCAAGATCTTTTGCAGACGTATCACCTGGATCGGAGAAGTATACACAGTTTTCATGTAAGTTCTTATATTTACATTTCAAATCAAGAGTGTGTTTTATCTTTTTTTTTTTTTTTAACTTATGCTAGAGTGGTAAATTAAAGAGTAGCCAAAGGTTACAACTAATCGTTGAGTGGTAAGTATTTGTGGTTAGGGTTTTTTTTTTAAAAAAAGTAACGATCTTAAAAGAAGAAGAGGCGCATCAAGTGGAGGAAATCAAAAACCAACAGAATCTTAAGGAAACTCAAAGGATCGCTGGCTGCAGTTGAGTAGCTCTATACAATTATTGGGTGAGTGGAGTAGTATTTTAGTATCGAATACAGCTTTTACGCTAGCGAATCTGCAGATCATCGTTTTCGTGAAAGAATTTTGAAGAAATCTCCCTATGATAATAACAACCTGTTTATTCAAAGCGTTATTTCCAAGGGATAAGGTTTTATTATGTCTAATCAAAATAAATTTTTATAATTCAAATCGATTGTAGCATTCTACAGATAATGTTCCGAAAAAAGAAACCATAATATGATAATATAATTTATAGTATGTATTGTACTATATATTTTCAACCTTTTCCAACAATTTCTTGGGATATTTTAATTTATTGCTTTTGATTTTGTAATGTGTGTCCTGTCTGGTGTTTTAAAAGAATTTTCGAATCCGGCGTCCAGATATTACTGCACAACAAATTTGTATACACAACCGATGAATATATTTACAAATAAATATATATGATTTAATTAATTTTATTAAGTAGTTCTACATTCAAACTACACACAACATCGACGCAAACGATTCGTTACACTACAATTGTTAGTACAGATTACAATTGCTGATCTTTCTAGGCTAGTTATACAGTTTTAGATATATATATATTATATAGGAATAGATACATGTGTGTACAATGCGACTACAAAACGAAAAGAGCCCAAAAAAATACAGAAAAGGAAAACCAAAAACGAAAACGAAAACCGATCGAAAACAAAAGAGGGGCGAGAAAAAAGCGCAACTGAGGATAATGGTTAAAGTTAGAATAAGATCGGTAACGGAATCGGGTAACGGGTAACGGGTATCGGGTAACGGGTAACGGGTAACGGGTAACGGGTATCGGGTATCGATTGGTGGTAGAAATACTTAGACACAGGGCGAGGCAAACTTACCGCATCCTGAAAGAAAACGAAAGGAAACAAATCAAAGCAAGAAATGAAAAGGAATCTCTCGTCGTCTTCAATTCACCCGCGACTAATAATCTCTATCGAATCGGATATATACTATATTGTATTATATCCCGGGTACAAACAATGCGCTTCGAGAATGGAAAATGAAAAGCACACCAAGCCACCAGGAAATCGGGTTAAGTCCGTAATCCCTGAATTCCGAAAACCCTCTAAAGTAGAATAAACCACCCGGACATGCAAAAAACTGGAGCTACGACAAAAGAACAGAAACAGAAACAGAAACAGAACCGATCTACAGGAACACGCAACTCTATTTCCAATTCCCACCTTGAAACTCCCGAGTCTGATTTGTTTTGACCAGTTTATATAAGAAATGAAAACGAGAATACTACTTACCTTTCGGGATCCCTTTTCGGAAACTTGAACGCTGCCTGCACTCGCCTCGCAGGTGCTGCCCCTTGCCACGCCCCCGCCCACGCCCACTCCGCCCCCGAGGGCGTTGGCCGCCGAGGGGAAGGATCCGGTGGCAATGTTGGAGAAGGGCACGGGCTCCGAGAACTTGATCGTGTGCAGCAGCTGCATCACCACATTCGAAACATTTCGGAACGAGAGCTTCCGCCGACTTCCGATCGCCGATCGCACGCCCAGCGTGTTCAGCATCAGCGGCTATATAAAATAGTATAAAATTATATAAAAATATAGCAAGAATTAAATATATAATATATAGTAAAGTTTTTAATAAAGTTCGCCAGCAAAGGTTCAATAACTAGTTATCAAATATGCTGCTTAGACTTTTGTAACAATCTTTAGTTTATGTAAATTGCACATTCAAGTCCAAAATGAGTTTAAGATAATTCATTAGATATTTCGTAAAAAAGATCAAAAATAATTATAAATAAAAGACATTTACTGTGTTAAAATGGCTGTTCTTTACTGTTAAGACTGCTATATCTGTTGCTATTTCTTCAAAACTTTATTAAACTAAAATTATTAAACACACTATTTAAATTCGGGTTCCTTGTAAAAAAAAAACCTGCTAAAACTTCTGCTTGATTTATTTATACAATATTATAATCTTACGACTGCCAATGAGGATTAAATATATCTTTAGCATATATAATATGATATAAAGATCAAATATATCTTTAGCACATATAATATGATATAAAGATCAAATATATCTTTAGCACATATAATATGATATTAAGATCGAATATATCTTTAGCACATATAATATGATATAAAGATCAAATATATCTTTAGCACATATAATATGATATTAAGATCGAATATATCTTTAGCATATATAATATGATATAAAGATCAAATATATCTTTAGCACATATAATATGATATAAAGATCAAATATATCTTTAGCACATATAATATGATATAAAGATCAAATATATCTTTAGCACATATAATATGATATTAAGATCGAATATATCTTTAGCATATATAATATGATATAAAGATCAAATATATCTTTAGCACATATAATATGATATAAAGATCAAATATATCTTTAGCACATATAATATGATATTAAGATCGAATATATCTTTAGCATATATAATATGATATAAAGATCAAATAAATCTTTAGCACATATAATATGATATAAAGATCAAATATATCTTTAGCACATATAATATGATATAAAGATCAAATATATCTTTAGCACATATAATATGATATTAAGATCGAATATATCTTTAGCATATATAATATGATATAAAGATCAAATATATCTTAAGCATATATAATGTTATATAAAGATCAAATATATCTTTAGCATATATAATATGATATAAAGATCGAGTATATCTTTAGCAAAAGTAATCACCTTGCGTCGATGTGGCGGCGGAACGATGAAGAAGGTATCCACTCCGTGATCGCGGAGGTACGAGGAGCGCTCGTCCCCGTGGCCAGCCTCCACCTCGTACTCGCCGGAGAGGGAGTCGAGGGTGGCACGGGTCACGTGCACCCGGCCCGGCTCCCCGCCGGACTCCATGTGGTTGGCCAGGGTGACGTCGTTGGACCAGACGTCGAACTGCCACTTCCTGAGGCCCAAAACACCGCAGAGGACACGGCCCGTGTGGATGCCCACGCGCATGTTCAGGATGACGTCGGTGGCCTCCACCACGGTGCTGAAAACGAGGAGCAAACACTAATTAGGTTTCAATTAATGCAACAGAGAAGGCAAAGTGACCCGGCGAAATGTTAGAGTTCATTCATCAATTAAAGTGCACCATTAAAGGTTGCAAAGGAAATCCAATTAACAATAAAGCTTGGCAAAAAGTCTTACTTACTTTAACTAAAAACCATGAGTGACTTTATATAGTATAAAATCTAAAACACGTTTAACTAAAAATACTGTCTGATAATCAAATCAACTTGAGTATCAGAACTTGTCTTCGCTTCGAAATGATAGCATTGACTTTGTGGTGTCATCTATTAGTATGTGATAATTATATCAATTAGTTTTTGAGATATTGTTCAAGTGATTTATTATCGAAAGCGGATCACTCCAAACATGTTTTACTAACTCTTTAAATGTGACTAAAGATAGTCTGTAATAGATACTCACGCAATGGCATCGATCATATCGAGTCCCATTTCCACGGCGCATTTGGCGTGATCCTTTCGCGGTTCTGGCAATCCGGAGACACAATAATAACAGTCGCCTAGGATCTTGATTCGCAAGCAGTGGTTGTCCTGGGGAAAAGTAGCAAAAATAATAAATAATTATAAAAAATAGTAATATATAATAATAACAAATAACAATAATATATTATAATAAACCTGCACACCTATTTATATATTTCTGTTATTGATAAAAGCAATACTTAATTTAGTAAACCCTATAAAATATATACTATTTCTTATATAATAATAAATAATTATAAAAATAGTAATATATAATAATAACAAATAACAAATAACAATAATATTTTATAATAAACCTACACACCTACTTATATATTTCTGTTATTGATAAAAGCAATACTTAATTTAGTAAACCCTATAAAATGTATACTATTTCTTATATAATAATAAATAATTATAATAATAAATAATTATAAAAAATAGTAATATATAATAATAACAAATAACACATAACAATATTTTATAATAAACCTACACACCTATTTATATATTTCTGTTGTTATAGGGTTAGTAAACCCTATAAAATGTATACTATTTCTTATACATTTTACCTTGAGATATCATTCTTTCTCAGACAAACAAATTTTAGACCATCTCATAAAAACATTTCGGATATAATTAAAACACAAAGAATTTGTCGAAAGGTTTACCATAGTTAATTGGTTTAAAGAATGCGTATATATGTATGATATATATTTACAATTCAGCTGGTTATTTAAGCGTTGTTCTCTATCCTATTGGACCAACTTACATGTGCCAGCTGATCGAATCTCCCGAAGAGCTCGTTGAGCAACCTGACCAACTCCTGGGCGCTGCACTGCGAGGAGAGGACCGTGAATCCCACGATGTCGGCGAACAGAATGCTCACGTTCTCGTGCTTCTGGATGTAGATCCGATGGAATTGTCCAGCCACCGGCGACAGGATGTCGTTCTTCATCTGCATGGCCACGTGCTGGGGCAGAACGGACAGCAGAAGCCTCTCCAGCTTCTCGTTCTCATCCTGGATCTCCAGCCGGGATGCGATGCAGTTGCGCGTATCGAGGAAGGTTCTCCGCTGAGCCCGCTCCATCATGATGTTGACCACCAAGCCGGCCACATTAACCCCAATGAAGATCACTATGTTGGCAATCAGTTGGTTGTACTCCAGATAGCGCAGGGCATCCGTGAAGATCTTGTAGACCGTCAAGCTGATGTGCACCGAGGGCAGGGCGATGCCAAAGGCCACCGCCTCCCAAATCTGCAGCGGCATCATCGCATAGGCGAGGAAGACCACGAAGACGATCTGCCAGACGCCCTCGGCCATCACCTCCTTGGTGTCCACCGGGAACACGCTGCCCAGCGTGGGCATGGACACCACACAGATGCTGGCCGTGAAGAGCAGGATCCCGTAGCACAAGGTGGGCAGGTGGTGGTCCTTGATCACCGAGCACTGCAGCAGCACCAGCACCACGGCGAACAGCCCGCAAACGATCGCATTGAAGATGTTCTAAGGATCAAGGACAATGGGTGGAAATTAGAAACCAAATACGGGAATATTGTAGAGTATATAATTGCATTTAAGTTCAAGTTCAAAAACAAAAAGATATCATTTGATATATAAGTTAAAACATTAAACATAATGGTACCAACTTTAATACAAAACTTGTTTTATGTTACGTTTCCAATCTCTAGTTCAACCTTTTTATGAAGGAACTAATAATCATGGCTTAACAAAAATAATTACTAATATCAATATACATTTATTTACTAATGAAAGATTTAATAAGTAAAAATATTGCTATATTAAGAAGCAAAGTAGTATATTAATCTCTTGAATTCCAAAGGCAAATCTGAGATTGCTTTTAGAACAAGGGGTTTTAAATCCAACCAAAAATGAAAAGCTAAGACACTTAAAAGTAATTATCCATTGAAAATAGGTTGAAATAGATTGCAGTGACACCCCAGCATATGTTGCTGTATAAATAGTACTCAATCAAGTACTCATCTGCTTGGCTACTCGATACTCACGTGAAAGGTGGCCGCATTATTGAAGGTCAGCGAGAGGGCCGCCATGACGCCGCAGAGAACGAAGACGAGGGCCACCACCCCGAGCACCGAGAAGCGCTGGAGCTTCAGCGTGTACCGCTGGTAGAGGCATTCCAGCTCGTCGTTCTCGAAGCGGAGCGTGTTGAGCGGGCGGCCGCGCGTCGCTTTCACGGCATGATCCATGCCGCGCCGCCGCAGCTGCCGCTGCCGAGCGGCAAAGTCCCGCGCCTGCCAAAAGGATTGAGCCCGCCAAGTTCAGGGGCTGCAACAAATATCAGATTGGAGATCATATTACTAAAATTGGTATATTTTGTATTAATATTAATTAAACTAGGCCACCCAAAATACAATGGACTTGAAACGATTTAAATGTATTTATGATTATTTTATTAAACCAGAACATTCATTTCTTTGGATTTTAAAAGCTTTAGAATAAATTCTACCTAATTCTGTAATTTTGTTTTTACATTTTTTTTTTTTAAATACTCCACTTATAAGGAAAAAAGTATAAATGAAATCATATTTGTACTTTATTAAAATGAAGCAAATATTCCAAGCGAGCAACTTTTGCTTCAAGTTTTTGTATATAATTTTTTAGTAAAATATCTTTTTAGAAGCTGATTACCACTTTAGAAAAATCCTACATTTCAAGTATCATTGCTATATTGTTATTTTGAATTTATAAAATTATTTATTATGATTTTGGGAAACCATTTCCTTTGCGCAGTGCATTGGGAGCAGGTCACCTTGAAATTGCGCTGCATGCGAGGGAAACGGCTTTGGAAAACTGAAAAATGGGAAATGGGAAATAGGAAATGGGTGTCTGTGCATGGCACGCAACCAATGGAGGGGAAAATGTCCACTAACGACTAGCATCCACAGCCACAAGCACATAGAGTGAAGAACCAAAGCCCCACGCCTTTGGCAGTATCGTTTAAAATAACATTTCCCATTCGCTGAAAATATCAGCTAAAAATAAGCAGCAGGCAGAAGCTGGCGTGAAATCAATCAATGTTCAAGCAAAATTTACCAAATAGCCACTGACCCACGCACTTTAGCTGACCAAAAAGCAAATAAAAAAAAACAAAAAAAAAAAAACAGGAAAAACTGATAGAAAAGCTGAGAGTGAACTTCTGATGACAACGGTCTTTTGGCTGGCAGATTAATTGCGATTTGTATGCGGCAATCCGTTAAATTCATTAAAATATTATGCACAAATTCATTTTGCGAATAAAATCCGTAATTAGCCGGCTTTAACGAGTGCAGCGTGGAATATTTGGCCGCTGCCATTGGATCGATGTCTATATTCGGCTATGCCCGAGACGTTAAATCAATTAGGCATGAAAACATTTATAGACATCGTGGAAAATTGCCGAGCAGCCCAGAAAATCTACTCTGTGTGTGAAGCGAGTTGTGTGTGTGTGTGTGTGTGTGACTTTCCGAGATGAGGTAAGTCCACCCTCTTCAGTTGAGGAGACAAGGTGTCGCCAAAGTTTCCCAATCATAACTCAATTTTGAACCAAGAACCGCCATCTGCCACCAGGAAAAATCAGCTCTGAAGACTTTGAGTTATAGAATTTGTCTGAGGCGTATTTCAACTTTCGAGTTGAGAAAGTTTGACTGATGATAAATGAAATCCTTATTACATACATTTACTATTAAAAAGCTTGCTTCTGTTACTCGCTTCAATCACATTAAAATCTATCAGTAAAATATGTTTACTTTTAATTCCAACATCGGTTTAAGGATATCCTTTTAAATTGTTAGTTACTCATCGTATTATCATGTTATTTCCCCAACTGATCCTGTTCAGAAATTGTCACGCACTCGATGGCAACGAACTGTGCAAATCGATCTGAACTCCTTAGGATTCCCAACCAGTTGAGTAATTATTAAGCAGATCTTGTAGAGCCAAGTGTTTGAACAGTTGCTACGACGAACCCTCGACAATTAGACGTCAACATGGATGTTTCTTTTGTTTGTCAGTCAGTTAGCTCTTCAGTCAGTCAGTCATTCAGTCAGTTAGTCAGTCAGTCAGTTGGCTTATTCGTTGATTCGCTGTCAATTTGTTTGCTCGCGCCGCTTGTTTGTTTGCTTATGTGGGCTGTTTGAATCATTTTTGATGTGCGCATTTCGAATTTGCATTTTCGCAGCGACATTAATATAATGAGACGTGAATATTTTCAATTTTTACGTCCGCACACTCGTGTCCCCAACTTAATGGCTTTAACCCCATCAGCCGCCATCAACATTGCCAGTTTGTTGTGTGTGGGCTTGTCCAAAATATTCTATTTGCGGCACGCCAAGTGCTCGGGCGAATTTCTCAGTTATGCAAGTGTGTAAATACTGCAGGTTAAAACACCAGACCCAAAACTAACCAAGCAAAAGCGAAAAAAAAAAAAAAAAAAACAGAAACAGAGAGATACAACCAAAAACACAGAGGCAAACGGAAAAAATTGCTGTCATTATAAATTCACGTCAAGTGGGAATTTCGTGCGTATTTTGGAAATTGTATTTATGTGTCCTACATAAATTGCGCCGAGCTGTTTGCCCGTTTTTAGTTGAGATGTTATTTTCATTATGTGTGCCGTAGTCAAATTAATTAAATGAGCATTTTGTCGCTTCGTCACGAAATAAATTGCAAATACAGCGGGCGAAGATCGATTTGAGGGCCAACGGACACGCGCTATTGGGAATACTTTTTGGCATCATCCAACCCAAACCAAACCAACCAACCATCCATCCATCCATCTATCCACCCACCCATCCAATAATATAATACAAACCTTCCGCCCAGTTTTCTTATCCATCGAGTAGCGAAAAACATGACAATTTCTTGTGTTTCAATCCGCTTGACAGGCAGCCGCCCATCGCCTCAAGGAGATCAGAGTCCAAAGAGGTTTCTTGCCAAGTGCTTTGCGGCATAGTAGTGTTAAGCAAAAAGCCTTAACCCAATGGGTTAGGTTGCGTTCCATGTCAATCAGAGAAAGAGGGAATTGCATTGCAAGTGAATTTCGCAGCGATTTCTCGATTGATTTCACAGCCAAAGCAATTGACAGCAATTAGGTTTGCAACACTTGCATGGGCTTCGCGAATTAATCGTCATCATCATCATCATCATCGTTATCATCATTATCATCGGTTATCGGCAGCATCAGCATCATCGTCATTCTCGCAGTATATTTAATCAATCAAATTTTAATTTCCAATTTTCGCTTTAGTCGTCTGGCGGCGCCCGGCAAGAAATTAAAGGCAAGAACCGATAGAAAAACCGATGCAAAATGCGGCATCAGCCAAATGACGCAAGCACAAATATTTAGCAAAAAAAGGAAATCACTAAAAGTGCGATTGTGTGAGTTTGTATCTGTGTGTGTGTGTGTGTGTGTATTGACATGGCCGTATCAAACGGTTTTTATGGTCCACTAAACTGATTGGATTCGGATTCATTTATAGTTTTTAAAAGAAGAACTCCAGGAACTGCATCGAATTGAAAGTGTGGAATGAAATAATTTATAGGTTTTTCTCATGCTGGAAATAGTTTTCGTTTGCTTTTTGAATAAATATTATTGGAAGATTCCCTAATTTCTTTTATTTTAACAATAGCCATCTTAAAGCTAGAGATGTGTAAGATATTTTCTGACATAATGGATCACCTACAAAATCGGTGATTATTACAAAAAGCCATCTATCAAAGACAACCGACCTGCCAAAGCTCACTCATCCGCCATGTGGTACGCAAATACATTTTTCCGCTGTCGCCAAAAGGGAAATGAAAATTGTATTAGACCAAAAATTTCCTACTAAAACATTTTGATAGACACAACAACGTATTTATTTTTTTTTTCTCTCCCATGCTGTCCATCTTTGTTGTGAAGCCGGTCCAAAAACTAATTATATTTGTATCCGTTCACTTGTAGGTTAGCAAGCCCAATTTTCCCCTTTTTGCCCAGCAAAGTGGGAAAGACAAAATCAATTAGTGGATCCGGTGCACATTTTTGCCATCCACTTTACCAAATAATTTATTACACTGGCTAACATATAAAAAAAAAGAGTACACATGCTCCAAAGATGATTGTTTAATTCATGGGAGTAAATTGAAAATATTTGTATCAAGAATTCATTAAAATCTTTAGTACAACCATTTTTCAATCTTTATATAGATAATCTAACTTAAACCCGTTTATGGAGCACATTTATTGTTTTGTGAACCAGTGTAATCTGCATCTAAAATGTTCTTCGCTGCCGCCACATGTAATTTGTTTATTTTCTTGTTATTGCCATTTAAGTAGGCCATCATGTTCGGGGTTTTGCAACAAAATCAGTTTAGCTGACCCTCCAACATCCAGTAAATTGAATGGAGGCTAGGACATGCGGGTTTTTTGTTTTTGTTTTTGGGGGGAGGATGGGTGTATATTGGCGCCACACGAAATTTGCTGTCTCGCCAAGGAACTCGTATATGTGAGCTCTGCTCCGCATTCCGCATTCCAAAGCCCAAATCCCCAATCCTCCTCCCTCCCAAAAAAAAAAAAAAAGCCATCAACTCCGCTGCTGTCATTTGTTGGGCTTTAGCAATTTTATTAGCATGTGCGCGGAATTCGATTTTCATGACGAGAGGAATTTGATAACACAGAAGAGGCCACTTGAAATTTTGATGCACTTTGGACAGCAGCGCTCTTTCAATTAATTTATAAAGGAATAGATGTTGAGGGTTTTACTACATGTGTTGAATTATTTAGCTACTTTTTGGATTCATTGCTCTCGGGGCTTAAATTCAAACTTGCACACACCTCGAAACGATAAGAATTGAAAAAGCATTACACTTTGCATTCAGATAATGGAAAAGGCAAATAGACGCATATTAAACACACAACTTCAAGGAGGTGGTTTTAGTTTAAGAACGAAAGGCAACAGGGAAACCTGCGTATTTATTTAGATACTATTGTGTCTACAGTAAACATGGGTAAGGCATTAATCTTCGGTCTTCACTAGTCACTACTGTAGATGATCTTTTGGTTGGTTTCTGATCAGAGAAGATATACAGTCATACTTGTAAAACAAATTAACAACTTTAGTTTTTATATAATAAATATATTTAGGTTTATAAATTTAATCGAATTTACTATAACCTTTATATATAAATTTTAAATAGAAATAGAGGTTTATAAGGTCTTGTAAAGATTCAGACACTAAAGATAACTGACAGTTGTGCCTTTTGTTTGGTTGTTTGAGTTACGGAGTGTATACTGTGTTTGGATAGGCGGA